AAATTTGGATGGTCATGTCTGCGTGAATGGAAGACAGGACGAAAACATCCCGTTTGTCCTTCCACTTCACTGCGAGCAATTCATTTTTCAAGCAGGTTTTTTCCCCCTTTAAAAGGCGGATATTTACAAGATGTTGGGGGAATCCCCGGCAATTAGGTCACACGGTGCCACTTGCGCCAATTCCAAGATTGTATAAATGTCTAAATAGTGGCACGCTTGAATAAAAATTGTCCTTGTATAATATGGTACCACATATAGAAAAAGGGTCACACTAAGTCCCAAACTGTCTTGCCACTGTTCCCCATGTAGTCTGGCATCCTGAGGGCTTCACATGACTATCTTTTCCCTCATAAATCCGAAAATTACATGTATAGCCTGTTTCCTTCTCACAGGTCTTATACATTTTGACCCCATATCTGGCACACTTGCTGGGGAGAAATTGTTTGAATGCAAGGCGGCCACAAAAACGAATGAGGGACTTATCAACACAGATGTTTTGTTGGAGAGTATAGACATCTGCAAATTTGTGGTTAAGATGATTTACAAGGGGCTGAATTTTGTGGAGCCGGTCAAATTCAGGGTCACCCAGAGAACGACAGAGTGTATTGTCGTTGAAACACATAAATCGCATTATATTCTCATATCTGTGCCGGGCCATTGCAGCAGAGAACACGGGCATATGATGAAATTGGGTCTGTGGACCAATACAACCGCAATTATTTTTTATTTAGTAATGCCCATGTTGAGGGTTAGACCCCAAAAAAAAAAAAAAAAAAAAAAACTTTAAATTCGGAAACCATCATAGGTTTCCATGAAAATGGTCTGGCAAGGTTTGAATCTGGGTTGGCAGCTATAAATTGTTGTGCATATAAATTGCTTTGATCTACAATCAATGCATACATACCTTCCATGAAAAACAGCTCCAAAAAAATAAAGGTTAAATTTGCGGTTTCCACCTGAATTCTGGGTTGGGCAGTGAATGGTGGAAGTACGGGTGCTGCAGAATTTGTGGGCTGCCAATCAAGATTTGCAAGCACATCTGGAAGGACACTATGAGCTCCTGAGGCCTGTGTTCAAATTCTTTGTGGCTGCGGGATACTACTTTTGCTAGCCACTGCACCAGCTTATACTGCACTTATGGGATTCGCCACGTCACCAAGTGATACTGCTGTGCTGGTATGTATAAGACCAGGATGTACTAGGCTGCTGGTGTTCGCCAGTTCACCAAAAGGTTGAGCAGCACTAGTACTGGCACTCTTCTGCATATGAGAATCAGTATGCAATTGTACCACCTCAGCAACCTGGGAATGGGTCAGGTACACCTCTACTCCATCGTCTGAGCTATCTCTCAGGGTGCCACCACTGTCTACAGGTTCAAATTATGAGCCCGATTCTGTCAGTGAGTCTTCCCCTTTGCTCTCATCTGACATGGTCAGAATCCTGTATCTTTCGTTGGACATTTTGGCCACTAAATTTATAGGTACCTAGTGCGATTCACAGGAAAAAAAGAGCACCTGGCTGTCAGGGATTGCTTGAACCGCTACAAAAAAAAAAAAACATTACCTGCTAGTTTTAGCAGAGATCAGGCCTAATTTTGCAAACAATGCAGTTTTGTGCACAATGTATCAAGTGACAGTGATATACTGACACTGCACTTGCTGGGGGAGAAGGGGGGAGTAAGCGTTGGGGCTAAATGCAGGTGCTGACAGGTGTGGGGCTGATCTTGCTAACGCTGCGTTTTTGGGGACACTATACTATTGTGGATGCTGGTATAGTTCTGGTCTGATCAAAGATACTGATCCGTTCAGATACTATACTAGCAATGGAGGTTTATTGTGAATGTGAGCGTGTTTCTAGCAATCAAAGGGTTAAATGTGATGACTGATGTAGTGCCGGGCAATCTGACGCTATCTGGGAGGGATGCTAATGCCATCTGAAGTCACTGGTGACCACTATTACAGTGATCAGTAAAAAAAAAAAAAACAAATCTGTACACTGTACTAATAACAGTGGTGACAGGGCAGTGAAGGGGTTAACTGGGGGCGATCAGGGGGTTAAATGTGACCTATCAGTGATTTTACTGTAAAAGTGTGCCGTTTTTGACTCGCATGGATCTGCTTTCTTCTATCTCTGGAATGGAATGTGCCCAGGGAGAGAAGATTGGATCATTTGCTGTACACCTGTGTAAATGTAAATACAGGTACAGGAAGATCTCTGATAGGGCAGGGATCAATCAGCAGATCCAGGCCAAACATCACTGGCCTGAATTTGCTGATTGATCGGTCGGGCACCGAATGACGGCACAGCCAGGTCGGCGGGTGCGCGTGCCCCCGGACCCGTATATACACACACACACACGTGATTTTGCACAGAAAGCCCGCCCTGTAGCAGTAATTCTGCTTTAGGGTTTAGCTAAACTGGTTAACTAAAAAATTTTAAGAACCCCAGTACCCCCCGTGCTTGTGTGATCACACCACAAGTGAGGTATCGCCGCAAACGTTATAGCAATATTTCTAGCATCAGACTTCCTGTGCAACTCTGAACTGGTAACCCGTATATGCTTTTAAATCATCACCTATGGAGATTTTAAGTAACGTAGTTTGGAGCCATTCCACAACCGTGCACAATTTTAAAAAGTGACATGTTATCTATTTACACAGCATAACATCGTCTTTTATATTTTACCAAACAATTGGGTATTTTATAGTGTTTTTTGCATTAGAATTCATTAGAGTATGTTTTCCCAAAAAAAACTGCATTTGTGACATAAAAAATTTTATTCTCTAGGGCCTCTGCAAAAAATGAATATAATTTTTTTGGGTTCCAAGTAAATACTAGCAAAAAAAATGCTGATTTTTACATGTAAACAGAAAGTGTCAGAATAGGTCTGGTCTTCATGTAGTTAACATGTTATTTATGTGACTTTGAAAGGCGGCTTAGGGAAAACAGAAAGCATTTACAATTACAGCGTATCTAAACTTCATTCAAAATGCATACATCCTAAGGCAGAAAGTGAACTACTGGCAGCAGAAGCAGGTGAAATAAAAGGGAGAAAAAAGCCTTAAAAAAAAAAAAAAAAAAAAAAAAAAAAATCACATCTAATGCAGTCACCACATCTTTTGATCGATATGCTGCAAAATATTACATTCTTGTTTAGGGGTTTAATACAGCTTTAATTTTTGCTGAATGCATGAACATTTCCCACGTTTAGAAGCATGTCAATTAGTTGATATAAAATGTGAAGTTCAGTCTTCAGGAATTAATGCAGCATTACTTAAGCTAACAGCCAGCAGTATATTTTTACACGGCTGTTAGATGAGAAAAAGGGGAAGAATAAAAACCTTAAAAAAAAAAAAAAAAAAAAGCCTAAGTCAGTGTGTGTTTTTTCTAAATAACTGCTTAGACTATTAAATGGGCTTTTATGTGTATATAAAAAGCTAACTGACCCAAGTTTAAATCTATGGCCTACATTATTATAAGGCATTTCAAAGCTTTCCCTTTACTTGTAACCTGCCAGAGACACTTGGAAATTACCAATAATTTCTCTGATTGCAAGAAATAATGGACCAATCACTGGAGAAATCATATGGTAGCCAGAGCATCTAAGGAGGAATAACATAATTAGAAGGTTTTAAAAATACCATAAAACAGCAAAGGTGAGAAAATGGGAAGAGCAAAGAATCTCTCTAATAGATGTAACCCAATAATATGCATATATAAGATCTGCATGAAAGTTCTTATTACACATTAGTAAAAGAATAAAAACATCAACTTCAACCAAAATAAAGTGGAACTTCACCTCTCAGTCACACTGACTATTTGTATCCTTATGCTTCTAACATTAGTAAATAGATAGGAAAGTATGTCATACTCACTGTTTTTAAACATTTTTTTACATTTCTTTCGTTGCGTCCTGGTTTTCATGCCTAGGCAAAAGACGTCATACATCCCAGAAGTCTTCAAAGGGGAGGGGTTCTCTCAACTAAGCACATCCTCCTGCCTGCATGCCTGAGCTAAAGGCAGATAGATTCCAGGAAGTAAATGCTACATGAATCTTCTGCCTTACTCAAGATGGCAACAGCTAGAAATGCTAGGGGGCAGGGGCGGACTGACAACTCATGGGGCCCCCGGGCAATAGGGGATCATGGGGCCCCTGTGTCCTTGCCCAAACTCAAAAAAAACCTATGAAAAAGGTACCAGGGGCATCTTACTGACCCCGGGCCCTCGGGCAGTGCCCGAGTTTCCAAATGGTCAGTCCGCCCCTGCTAGGGGGTGTTTTTCAAAGTGTTTTCTCAGCAAAATAAAGCATGGAGGAGGTTGCTGTGAAGATTTAAAATTAATTAAAAGAGCATTTTTGGTTTGTGGTGCTCAGATGCTGTGATGTTCCACTTTAATGTTTGAGTTTGGGGTGATTGCTAAAGTAACTTTCTAGTTAAAAAAATCCCCAGAATAAAAAGACAACCCCCAAGAAAATAGATTTCTGGAGCGTGGAGAGTTGCATCATATGTTGGCTTCTTAGATAGTTCGCTATACTGCATTTGTAATATTTACCCGAAAACAGTTCAGCATCTACCAAAAGCAGTCCACACATTTTGGTGGAAATATCCTTCAAATTAATTTTCTGTATGAGAACAGAGACAGGCAATTGTATGCACTTAATGTACTGCATAAATTAATGATCAATGTCAATCTATGCCTTTATTTACAACATAGCTTCATAAAAAATTGCTATTTTTGGAGTACAATATTAAGTTATTTTAGTGCCAAGAGTTGGTACATTTAGGGAAAAGTTAAGTGTTAGGGTGTTAATTAAGAGCAAAGAAATCCCTAGCTTATTTATAGGGAACTACTTTGTTAACCAATCTATATCCAAAAAAATACAGCACCAGAAAAAAATAAAATCACATCTATGCTAAATCCAAGGGGTATGCAACACATTTTGTTTCTTAAAGTATTACTAAACCCAGGACCCTGCATTCACTATATCATGCTGATCACATGCACTCTCCCAAGAAAAAAAAAAAAAAAAAAAACCCTCTCTAGCAATACACACAAAACTGAGCATGTGCAGAGGGACTCCACATGATATGTGTTATCAGGAGATAAGAGGGGGACACTGTAAGATGGGGAGAATCCGTGAAGTCATGGTCAAACAGCATTTTTAAACAATGCAGAGGATTAACCCCTTAGGTTCCACAGGGAGAATAACAAGCATGCTTTACTGCATATACAGACTGATTTTACTGCTGTGGGTTTAGTAACACTTTAAAGCTTAATTGGTTTGCCACTTACAATATGCTTTTATCGAATGGTCCTGCCTTCCTCCATGGACCAAGCTCAAAACATATAGTCTAAGGCAGTCTGTCAATGAGATCAATACACTTAAGCTGGAAATTCGGCTGGCTCAGCAGGGACTGGCCAAATTTAGATCTGATTGTGGCCCTTCCTGTCCAACAAAAGTCAATGAGTAGATCGACTTCTGTCAAATTGGACTGCTGCAAAACTTTCATTCAGTTAGCTGCAACGCTAATCAATCTCATAACGAGAAAAAAAAAAAAAAAACTATGCATGTATACCCAGTTTTACATCGTCAACCATAGCCGATTGTTAATATCATTCAAGTAGTTAAGGTGTCCATTTACAAATCTATCTACAAAAGCAGTGAATGCAACCTTCAAACATTTTCTAGTGGGGAATGTTCCATGGTCCATGTGTTTAAAGTGGCAATGACTGATTTCACACCACAGAATGCATGGTGAAAGCCACAGTCAAAAAATATATACTGCAGCTTATCTGGCCAGTAACACACTCTCTTTCTTAGCTCTGGATGGTGGAGCAACAAAGACACCTTCGGACTACACCATTGTCAGTCTTGGGAGAGGGTAGTAGATGAACAGGTAGACTTCACTAACAAATTGAAGCTGAACTCCGAGCTAAATGCTGAACATTGTAAGCACCCCTCCTTTCAGTGTTAAATGGTTTGTCTCAACCCTCTAAATGCTACTTTTGCTGAACAAGTTGGTCAGATAAAGTGTTACTAAACCCAGGACCCTGCATTCAATATATCTGGTCTCCCACAGTATACAGAACATGGAAATGCAATTATTTTAGCAAATATAAACTGCTAAATACCTTTTCTCATCAGTAGTATATAGCAGTCTTGTAACTTCTATCAGTGTCTGGCCAGGCATTGGTGAAAGCTTATTTTCATTCTCCTCTGACCGTCCTATGAAGCTGCATGACCCCTGACCCTCTGTCTGGACCGTGCTGATCGCATGCAACCCCCCGGCAAAACCCCCACCCCCGGCAAAAAAAGAAAAAAAAAAAAAAACTCTAGCAATACACACCAAACTGAGCATGTGCAGAGTGTCTACTAGGGCTTTGTATTATCAGCAGATGGATTGGGGACCGTGGAAGAAGGGGAGATCAGAGAAGACCGGATCAAACAGTCTTTTTACATAATGCGGAGGATTAACCCCTAAAGTTCCACTGTGAGTATAACAAGCATGCTTTACTGCATATACAGACTGAGGTTACTGGTGTGGGCTTAGTAATACTAAGGTGGTGGGGTTGGTATGCTCCTGTCACCACAGAGCACCTTCCAAATCTTCCCAAACCCTCCCTCTCTATCCTTCTCCTACTCTGAGGCCCACTGCATCCGACTATTCTCTCCAATCCCCCTGAGGATCGCAGTAATCTATCATCCCCCTGGACCCGTATCCCACTTCCTCGACGACTTCTCTGCCTGGTTACCCTTCTTTCGCTCCTCCGAGCTGCCCACCATCATCCTTGGAGACTTCAACATCCCTACCAACATCAATAGCCCAGCCACATCCCAACTCCTCCACCTAACCTCCTCCAGTGCACTCGCACAGTGCATGCAGTCCTTCACCTACTCCAACGGGAACACCCTGGACCTTGTTTTCTCTCATCTCTGCACCCCCCACAACCTCACAAACACCCCTTTCCCCCTCTCTGACCACAACCTCATCATCTTCTCCATATCCTCGTCATCTTACACCTACCCCCCCAAACGTCAAACCATCACCAGCGAAACCTCCGCAACCTGAACCCTCCCCCTTACACTCTGCAGCTGACCAACTTTACAACAGTATCCTTCCCCTGTCCTGCCCTGACCTGGCCACTACTGCTTATAACAACTCGCTGTCAGCCGCTCTTGACTCTCTAGCACCCCTAACCACACAAAACATTAGACCCTGACCGCTTCAACCCTGGCAGAATGACCATATCAAAAACCTCAAGCGATGCAGTCGCGCACTAGAGCGGCTATGGTGCAAAACCAGATCCCAGCAAGCGTTCACCCGATATAAAAATCTGCCTTCCTCACCTACACTTCCTACCTCCATGCTGCCAAGCAAGCCTAGTTTGTATCCCTCATCAATACCCTCTCCTCCAGCCCTCGCCGGCTCTTTTCCACCTTCAACTCCTTGCTCTCTCCGCCTCCACCTCCACCCAGTACCCACTCACCGCCCACGAGATTGCTAACCACTTCCAAAGCAAGATCGACGCAATTCGCAGGGACATCACCACTGCTCAGACTTCCACCTCACCTAGCATCCCTCACACGAAAACCCCCTTTACACTTCTCTCCCTCGACCTCGCCACTGTCCAGACCTCCACCCCGCCCAACATTCCTCACGCCAAAACCCCCTCAACACTCCACTCCTTCTACCCCGTTACCACTGAAGAGGTCACTAAGGTCTTCTCTGAAGCTCACCTTACCACCTGCCCCCTTGACCCTGTCCCCACACAACTCCTACGATCACCCTCCTCCTCCATCCTACGCTCACTCACTCACATCTTTAATCTCTCCCTCTCTACTGGCACATTCCCTCCCCTCTGAAGCACGCGCACATCACTCCCATACTTAAAAACACCCTCCCTGGATCCCACCGACCCAAACAACCTTCGACCCATCTCCCTGCTGCCATTTTCATCCAAACTCCTTGAGCGCTTAGCCTATAATCGCCTAAGCTCCCACCTCACCGACAACAACCTCCCTGATCCCCTACAATCTGGCTTCCATCCCCTACACTCCCCCGAAACCGCCCTACTCAAACCCACCAACGACCTGCTAACCGCCAAAGCCAATGGCCACTACTCAGTGCTACTACTCCTTGACCTCTCTGTGGCTTTCGACATGGTCGACCACCCCCTCCTCCTCAAAAGAATATACTCTTTCGGCCTCAGAGACTCCGCTCTCTCCTGGCTCTCTTCCTATCTATCACAACGCTCCTTCAGCGTTACCTATAATGCTGTCACCTCCTCCTCACTCCCCCTCTCTGTTGGGGTCCCCCAAGGTTCTGTCATTGGGCCCTTTCTCTTCTCCATCTACACCTCCTCCCTTGGTCAACTGTCCCACGGCTTCAACTACCATCTCTATGCCGATGACACTCAAGTCTATCTCTCTACCCTTCGCCTCAGCCCTTCAGTCTCCGCCCGAATCACTAGTCTTCTGAACGACATTTCAGACTGGATGTCACTCCACTTCCTCAAATTAAACCTTGCCAAAACCGAGCTCCTAGTTTTCCCCCCAGCCCGCTCGCCCCTCCCCGACCTCTCCATCACGAACAACGCCACCATCAGCCCCACCCCGCAAGCCAGAGTACTAGGTGTCATTCTAGACTCCAATCTGTCTTTCCAGCCCCAGATCCTATCGCTGACAAATTCATGCAGACTCCACCTCCGCAACATCTCCAAAATACGCATGTTCCTAACTCCAGAAACTACAAAGCAACCCGTTCACTCCCTTATTATATCACGACTTGACTACTGTAACTCCCTCCTTGCCGGCCTACCCCAACACAGGCTAGTTCCGCTTCAGTCTATCCTGAATTCTGCGGCCAGACTCATCCACCTTACCAACCGCTCCGTATCCGCCACACCCTTCTGCCAATCCCTCCACTGGCTTCCCATTGCCCAACGCATAAAATTCAAAATACTAACATTGACGTACAAAGCTGTTCATAACACTGCCCCAAACTACATCACCAACTTGATATCTATCTACCACCCAAAACGCACTCTCCACTCCTCACAAGACCTCCTATTTTCCAGCTCCCTGGTCTCCTCCTCCCATGCCCGTCTCCAGGACTTCTCCAGGGCTTCCCCCATCCTCTGAAACTTACTACCCCAATCCATCGGACTGTCACCTACCCTCCTCACCTTTAGGCACACCCTGAAAACCCATCTCTTCAGAGAAGCCTACCCCGCCCTCACCTAACTGCTGATCTCCTCCGCTCTCCCCACCACTCCATCCCCCCACAGCTATTTCCTCCTGTACCACCCTCCCCTCCCTCCTAGATTGTAAGCTCCAAGGAGTAGGGCCCTCGAACCCCTCGTGTATTTTATTGTATTGTTACTGTACTGTCTCATGTATTGTCTCCCATTGTAATGTACAGCGCTGAGCAAACTGTTGGCACTATACAAATGCTGTGTAATAATAATAGTAATACTAAATGAAATTAAAAAATAACAGATTTACTGGCCAGAGCAAAATAATGGAAACAATCCTAATAAAAAAGCCACCACATCTAAGAACTGTAATTTGTAATATACCAATTTTTTTTTTTTTTTTGGGTGGGGAGGGGTTAACAACACTGTAAGTGTAGGGGACTCGAGTAGTAGTGTGTGCCTTTTATACACATTTGGTAGGGAAAGCAACAAAACATTGCCATTCATTAAAAATTTAGAAGCTGATATTTGATTAGGTCTTATTTGCGAACCATCCAAACTGAGCATTGCAAATCAGTTTGCTGAGAAAGTGAATCAAATAAAATAACAGCTTATACAATGGTTCTGCGCACATTTTTTTAAAAACAAAACATATGGGGAAAAAAGAAAAAAAAAAAAAACCACATACACACACACACACACACACACACACACACACAGACAATTCCAATTACAATACCTCCATCAGAATCATCATCAACAGCCCACCATGGAGGTGTATCTTTTTTCTTGGTTCTTTTAATGATGGGTTTTCCAAGATTTTCAAGTACCACCGACTTTTTGTTACTGTCAAACGAATCATCTGAAAGAGACTAAAAGGAAATTGCATGGTTTAAAGAACTAGTCTGTTAGTTTTTAGCAGTAGCAACCCAACTAAGTACAATTAAGTACGGGGATTTCAATGCTAAAGCAAATATGAAATTTCAGTAAAATGATTTGTAAACCTTAGTGTCAGCTGTCTAGCTGTCCATCTTTTTGGGAATTTTAAGTAAAGTGGGGAACGGCTACAACCCCTGTCAGGTAGGAAGATGTTCGCTCTACTTGTCCTGGTGGCCATAATCATTGGGACAGAAAGTGATAGGAAATACTACATTTTAAAGTTGTCATCAGAACAGAGGGTGAAGAGAAATCTTTCAACAATGACAACTGTCTACCAGGGTTTTCCCCTAGCATCGGATGAGGGGGGAGATTGACTCCCATACATACATGGTAAAATGTATGTATGGGAGCACCGCCGTGTTAGAATACAGGGCCGGCCACTCGACTCTACTGAGAAGAACCTCCTCCTCAGTCCTACCTGTTCCTCGGTCCAGAAGTGTCCTGCTTTCACCAACAGTCTTCTCTCCCCCGCGCCAGCATCTTCAGTGTGGGCACCTGGCTGTGACAGCTTGCGGATTCACAGCCGGGTGCCCACTGCACATGCACGAGACGCGCAGCGCTTTGTGAATGGCCACCTGTAGTCTTCTGGGACCTATCATGTGTCCCACAAGACTATGGTGGAGGACAACTCCACGGAAGTGGGAGCAGGTACCTGTACAATTCGGATACCCGCCCTCCCGTGCTCCCCAAAGGTCCGCAGTCTCTGGTCCTCTCCTGTACTATGTCCGCAGTCTCTGGTCCTCTCCTGTACTATGTCCGCAGTCTCTGGTCATCACCTGTACTATGTCCGCAGTCTCTGGTCATCACCTGTACTATGTCCACCTGCTATGTCCGCAGTCTCTGGTCATCACCTGTACTATGTCTGCAGTCCATTGTTTCAGAATATTTTTTTTCTTGTTTTCCTCCTCTAAAATCTACATGGCACATGGCAATTCAACATGGCACTTCATGACAAAGAACTCTGACAATCTGAAAAAAAGAAATGTTGTTCTACATAAAGATGGCTTAGGCTATAAGAAGATTGCCAAGACCCTGAAACTGAGCTGCAGCATGGTGGCCATACAGTGGTTTAACAGGACAGGTTCCACTCAGAACAGGCCTCCCCATGGTCGACCAAAGAAGTTGAGTGCACAGCTCAGCATCATATCCAGAGGTTGTCTTTGGGAAATAGACATATAAGAGCTGCCAGCATTTCTGCAGAGGTTGAAAGGGTGGGGGGGCCAGCCTGTCAGTGCTCAGACCATACTCCGCAGACTGTAGCAAATTGGTCTGCATGGCTGTCGTCCCAGAAGGAAGCCTCTAAAGATGCACAAGAAAGCCTATAAACAGTTTGCTGAAGACAAGCAGACTAAGGACATGGATTACTGGAACCATATCCTGTGGTCTGATGAGTCCAAGATAAACTTATTTGGTTTAGATGGTGTCAAGCGTGTGTGGCGGCAACCAGGTGAGGAGTACAAAGACAAGTGTGTCTTGCCTACAGTCAAGCATGGTAGTGGGAGTGTCGTGGTCTGGGGCTGCATGAATGCTGCCGGCACTGGGGAGCTACAGTTCATTGAGGGAACCATGAATGTCAACATGCACTGTGACATACTGAAGCAGAATGATCCCCTCCCTTCAGAGACTGGGCCGCGGGGCAGTATTCCAACATGATAATGACCCCAAACACACCTCCAAGATGACCACTGCCTTGCTAGAGAAGCAAGACAGTGGTCGTAAAGGTGATGGACTGGCCAAGCATGTCTCCAGACCTATTGTGCATCTGTGGGACATCCTCAAACGGAAGATGGAGGAGCGCAAGGTCTCTAACATCCACCAGCTCCGTGATGTCATCATGGAGGAGTGGAAGAGGACTCCAGTGGCAACCTGTGAAGCTCTGGTGAACTGGAACTGAGGGAGCTGAGAAAGGCACTCGTCAAGTGTGCCCAACTATTCCCACCTCTTCCATCCAGTACCTCCATATGTAGAAGCCGTTACTACAGCTTCTATGAATGAAACATGATCTATGAAGGATGGGGCCGACCCTTCACTCACCTGTTCATCCGCCATTCATAGATCACATAGTTATTATAATAATAATACTACGGGATTTATATAGCACCAACAGTTTGTGCAACACTTTACAACATGAGGGCACACAGTACAGTTGCAATACAATTGAATACAGGAGGAATCAGAGGGCCCTGCTCGTTATAGTTTACAATCTAGTTGCAAGATTATCTTTACTGGGATTATGTGGTCCTTGCTTAGTGACATATTTACATAGGTTTTTGAAGCATCATGTTGTGTTTTTTTTTGTGTTTGCAAGCTTATGTTTTTTTGTTTTTTTAGGGGGAGGATAGGAGAAAGAGCAGAAGAAAACAGTTCAGGCACAAAAATGTGCAGAAATACTACTAAAGCTGCTGGTGTTGATAATTTTTACGCATAGGGAAATGTGCAGAAACACGCAACAAAATGCTCAGGTGAATACATCATTATGGCCATCTCTATATATAGAGGTGTAAAAAACGATAGGTGCCATTTTGCCACCATGTGCAGCTAAGCAGAACTTCCAGCCACTATGTGACCCATTTTAATTCTTTATATTCCTGACGAAGCTCTGTTTTCTGGAGCGACACATGTAGTTTCTTTTTTTCCTCTTTCTTTGGAATCACTTTTTGAATGCACATGGTATTCACTCCTCTCCCCTCCCCCCCCTTTTTTTTTTTTTTTTGGAGAGGTCTGTACTGCGTTTTACAGTGCATCTTTTGCATTCCTCAAGACAATGACATATTTTTTTCTGGATATGGTGATGTATGGGGCTTGTCCATGAGAGGCTGACATTTAAGCCTGAGAATGAGTGTATCCGTATTACATATCTGTAGCAAGATGGATTATACTATCTAATTGGATTTGTCCATGGAGTAACTCCATTTCCTTAACAGAGATTATATATTCAAGCTGATAGGGGTATGATCAAACTACAGTGTCTCTTTTTATGCTGTCACTTCATCGAAAACAGTATGGTATTTGATTTGGTCTGGTATTACCATTTGGATGTAAGGTAAATAATTGCAGTGGTATCCAGTCATATTGCTGTGCGCAGTACATTCCACTCCAATAGGCATTAATTACAGCTGAGCAAAACCCCCTTTTTTTTAAATATATATTTGAATAAAAGGTTATATATTTTAGATTCATCAATTGGCGAGATGGTGCATAGGGAAATGCACCCTCGTACAGTACACTGTAGATTTCTTATTTGCCGTAGATGATGATTTACAATTAGGGCTTAGTTTAATAGTTAGGTTATGTTATTACATTATATTTCACCCAAACACACACTTTAGTGGCACAGATATACAGGGCTCAATTCACTAAGCAAAATTTAGATAATTTTATTCATTTGATACAAATATAGCATGCAATATTGAAAATCTCAGTGAACTGACTTTTAGATCAGTTTATTTGGTATTTATCGAAAAAATAAGAAACACGTGGTAAATACTGTATACACGGATCTAAAAGTCAATTTACAATAAATAAATATGAATACATTTGTTAAATAAGTTGTGGCCTACCCACACCTACAGTAGTAGTAGTTAAAAAGCAGAGAGAGAGAAAGAAAGAAAGAGAGAGATAAATGAATGGGAAGAGCAAGATAGCATGCCAGAGACAGAGAAAGAGCCATAAAATACATAAAAAAGGCACGAAAAGGGAAAAAAAAAAAAATGAAACTCATGTTGTCATTGCCTGCATACACCACATACAGTAAACAGAATACAATTTTTTGTTGTAAAATTATTAGAAAACATGCTTTATCAAGCTTGCTTATTATATTTTCTATCATGCAGTTCACCCAGTTGTGTCCATCCGTCTCTCACAATCATATCTACCCCGCCCTCACCTAACTGCTGATCTCCTCCGCTCTTCCCACCACTCCATCCCCCACAGCTATTTCCTCCTGTACCACTCTCCCCTCCCTCCTAGATTGTAAGCTCCAAGGAGCAGGACCCTCGAACCCCTCGTGTATTGTATTGCTACTGTACTGTCTCCCATTATAATGTACAGCGCTGAGCAAACTGTTGGTGCTATATAAAACATTGTATAATAATAATAAATAATATCTCTGTCAATGTCTAAAGTCTGATAGCTAGTGTTCTGGTAAACCATTACTATGTAGTTAAAGAATAAGTTCACCAAAAAAAAAAAAGTGCATTTATTATATTTTTTTCCTGCAGGGATCTACAAAGGATTGCACCCATGATCAGTAGATTAATGGGTGTAATGTCAGACACCTGCAGACAAGCTCTTTAGCTTTCAGCCTGTAACCTCTGTACAACATGTTTGTTTGAAAGCTGCAGGGCTTGTGAATGAACCACTAGAGTGCTCACCAGTGGCCTTACAGTTCATTCAGAACTACAAGCCATCAACTCTGGTAGCAGATGGAAATTATAATTCTCTCATTTACAGATTAGTATAAATGAATGATGTGTGGACGGAGCCCTGCACAGCCATGCGGTTTTTGAAAAGTGACAGCAGGTTTTGGGAGAAGAAACCTCTGCCCACTTTCACGCTGTCACATATGAGTGTAACATGCTTCAAAAGGTGAACTTAGCCTTTAACCGCTTTCCTATAACAGAAATACTGCTACAGGGCAGCATGAGTGCGCAAAATCAGTTATATATACACACGTGATTTTGCCATTCCGGGTAGGGGGCGCGTGCACGCAGTGCGTGCGCCCTACCTTTCGCAGCCTCGGCTGTCAATCACCAGGTTCTGGCTGGTGATTCCCCGCCTGCACCCGGCGATCTCCAAGGATTTCCGACGGGGAAGAGACCTGTATGTAAACAATACAGATCTCTCCCGTCAGCTACTGCACACTGCTTAGTATGGCTCTGCATAGCAGAGCCAAACA